TTACCCTAATCTAGGAGTAGATTAATAGTAAGAAATTTAGCTATTTGCCTAACATTATATATAAATGCAAATATACTTGAAGATTTAAATTTAATAATAATAAATTACAAAGTGAATTATACTTAAGATTTGTATGTTACTCAGCCAATCTAGATTCAAAATTTTCCCAAGAAATTGGGATTAATTTGAACTAGATCCAAATGTTTACCTTAAGATATAAGATATACCTTCTTGGTTTTTTGACCGAGCTTCCACCAATTCCCCCTCATACACTTTAACGGTAGTCGGTAATCCATCCACTCTTCAACGATACAAAGAAAAATTGGTCAATAACACAATTTATGATATTTAATTATTAGTTAAATTTTATTAAAAATTAAAAAATTATATGTAAGTCACCTTATTTTTTTAACTTAATTTAATAATTATTGTTATATTTTTATAATTTTTAATAAATGTTAATTAATAATTAAATCATATTTAAAAATATATTACAAACTTGTGCTGTTAAGCCTCCTCGTTAATGGCATGGTCGCTGTAAAATTAGGTGTATGTAAACTTAGGTTTACCTTAATGCTTTATTAGAAATTTTATTGACTTGACTGGATGATTAAGCTGAAAAGAAATCTTTTAAGTTTTTTCAGAATTTTTTATTTTAATGTTCGTATAGATATGTTTTTAAAAAATCATGAAAATGAAATTTCAAGTTTAATTATATTTTTAATAAAAACATTTTTTTAAAATTATATATATATATATATATATATAATCTTTTTAAACATATCAAATGTATTTATAATATTCTTAAAAATTATGATTTTCACAAAAATATAATTCTTAAAAAATATAATGCGCATGAATAAAAAATATTTCTAAATACTAAATAATCGCAAAGTTAGTGTTAAAGAGTTTTTCAGTAGCCATTCCTGTTCTCTATTACCACTCATATCACGTAAAAGAAACAAAAACAACATGCTCCAAGAGAAGTCTAATGAACAACTCAAATTTTGACTTGTATGATTAATTTGTCATGGTATATATATAAGAAAGTTTTTTGACATTCTATGGCTTCTTTTTTTTTTTCTGTCGCTTACAATTTATCAACCCGATACTGGTCTTTAACGTTGTCTTGGTATATAAACTATGAATATTGTAGTCTTGATATCTAAAATCCAATTTCTTAAATTAGGAAAGATTGCTTTAAAGTGACTGAAAACCTATAATGTACCCTTTAGATGAGATGATGATGTCTACTTATGAATTGAAGTATATTAAATTTAGGGGGAGTGCGTACACATTAGGTATAAGATTAGGTATAAGGTGTATCAAGGGAAAATCATTTTCATTTATAATATTAAGAATAACAAGTTCTGGCAGTAATATAAAGATGGTCGATTTTTATTATTATCATAATAGTATGTAAGAACATTTTTTACTCGACTATACTTGTATACATATACACACACCAAGGAGATTAAGAAAAACTAATAGAACCAATAATAATGTAATTATCTAATAGTTAAGCTCTATTTAGGACATTAAAAAGATTTATCATCTTTTGCTCATAGCCGTCTACTTACATGAAATTATAAACTGAAAGGTTTAATCTTTAATTAACATTTCAAATCCATTCGTTCAAAATAACATAACTTATACACAATATTATAGAACAGATGTCATATATATGTACTAAAATTAATATTAAGAGCTAAAAATATATTTCTATTAATATATTTTTATGTAATAAAAATTAAATTATATGTGTGTATGTATTATATGACACCTTTTTGTAGTTTTATATAAACACACGTTAAAATTTAATACTTCATTTGTAAACACAATTCATTCCTAAATTTTTGCAAAATGTGCAATCATGTAAAGCATGCATATGGTTTTGTGGGTGAAATTTAGGAAATAATATGTTCAATAATAGTAGAAAGGGTTAAATATTTTTTAAATAAACTGCCTGATCATTTTTTTATGTCTATAAAGTTCAACAGTCATTTGTGAATTTTGATCATAATTAAATTCATGTTTCTAACTATGCTTTTCTTATTCTATTGTCTTCCTATATATAAAGTGATCATACTAAACACAACAGACATACACAACGGGAATGAAAATATGTGTAACCATTTGTTTTTTCCGTTTCTCTCCAATTATTAAAAACATAAAATATTAGTGTCTCCCTCCCCAAAAAAAAATAAGAAGAAATTACCAAAATACATAGGCAGGTGAGATTTTTCCGAAAAAATAATAGTATTTGTTCATCTTTCACATATTTGTCAGAAAAAATAATATGATTTACTGATTTAAATTAGAATTTTAGTTTAAAATAATTATATTTAATATTATTATAAATTATTAAAATAAAAATGAATTTTAATTAAAAATAATACTTAAAAAAACACTTATAAGACATAATAATCGGAAAAAGAAGCACCCCACGAAACTGACGCATAAAGTCCTTTCACATGACCATGAAATATATAATCTGATAAAGTGAATAATGAGCCGAGCAAGTTGAGAGATAGTGAGAAGAAAAGGTTTGCCCCCACCATTAGCACTGAGGATCCATAAGTAGTGCAAGTTGCAAGAAATAATCGGAGTTTTGTCCTTCAATTTTGATTGGTCCCGTTTGCATCCGTTTGTTGCATAGAACTTCCTTTTCTCTCATACTTCCAATACCTTTTTAATGAAACCCGTCCTATGTTGTCAAAGTGTCACATGTACTTAATTTAACGATTAATATATATTTTAAAAACTCAAGAGAAAAAATTAAGATGTATCTAAATGACTAATTTAATTAAATATTTTAATATATATTGGAAGTTTTATTATCTAACAGTACAATACCTCTCCAGAAAAGGAGTGCAACAACAAAATCAGTGTGTTTTCCTTTACATCTCTCAAATTAATGTACGCTATTTCAGAGAAATGCATACATCAAGAAACAGATAATCTGTTAAAACAAGACAATCACACGAACAAATACCGTACCCATTGTCATTTGCTATATATATATATCGTCAATTAGTTCTCATGATACTCATGGTGTCTTAGTTAATTTGCATGAAACAATGAAATCGGTATGCAGATCAACACTCGTTGTTCATACACCGATTAAAAATTAATTTGCTATATATATATATATATATTGTACAAGAATATTCATGAACATATATTGGGTTCGCTTTCTCCCATGTTTGGCCTTGTGTTATTATATAATCATATTCAGAGGAAACTGAATAATTAAGTCTTTCTCAACCCATGTTGTCTCATTATCTAAAGTGACTGTCTCATATGTCCTCCCACAGTAATTACAGAAGTCCTAGTTGGTACTGCTAATAACTTTTCTATAAATAGATATATGGAAGTTGGAAAGCTGGCCACACGCCCATACCGGCTGTAGATTAATTCTGGTTCTACAGTGTCTATGCAAGTTATATAAGGGTTCATATCCAACATACGCAGTTTTTTAGCCCCTATCTAATAACTATATATCCTCTCTCATCCCCATATTAGATATCAATAATGTTTAATGAACTAATTAACTACTTTTTGTTTTATGAAGTCACATATATAAAAAGCTTGGTTGTCTTATATATTGACTATTTGTCTTAATTGCTTATTAGAAATTCAAAAGTTCTAATTGTCCTTGGGAGCTAGATATATATATGATTGATTCCCGTTTTGATAAAAGTTACATAACTTCAGAAAATGTTGTTGAAGTAGTGACAGAATGTATCAATATTTATCAGGCTAGCAAAAGAAAGAAAGGAATATAAGACATTTGTATATATAAGGATCTAACTTTCGATTTAAATCATCAATTAGGTTGTTCTGTGTTCACAAAACTTTGAAAAGAAACAGCCACTGCAGCAATGTCTGGCTGTGTGTTGTTCGGTGTTTAGAAAAGTCAACGTATTTTGTTTCAAAATTTATGCATGCATGTATTGTTTAATAATTTTAGGAAAAATCAAGGATGGGTTTGAGATTTGGTTTTAACTCCCTTAACATGAAAGTAATATTTTGTTACTTTTTCGTTAAGTAAAATTTTGTCTGTAAGTAGAGACAAAAATATTCTTTTAACTCAACATCATATTACTATGCTAATGATATCAAATAAGAAAAATTACGTTACTTTTTAGAATTATATATCTAAAAAGTAGCTTTTATTGATGTCCAAATAATGTAATGTCAAAATCACTTTTCAACAAATACTTTTAAATATAAATTAATGCTCAAACAAAATTTAATTAAAATTAATTTTATAAAATCAAGTTTATCTAAAATTAATAAGCAAAATATTTCATATGAAACAATAAAAAGTTGTCGCTCTCTCTAATTATATTTTTAAAATGTGCATATGTATATTGAAAAAACAATATAAAATATTATACACGGCATTATTATTTTTTTTTTTATATTCAAATAAGGGAAGTGAATCTATAATGTCGTTCATTAAAATCCTAATTAAGGAGAAGGACTCTCGTTAGGTAAACAGGAAGAGGTTTTCTCCCATCCAAATACCACTGCTCTAACATTTGAATCATTAAATGTACTAAATAAGTGGTCATTGAAGTTTTTTTCATAACTCGGGTCCCCATTTCTCCATCCACACATTTTTTTTTTCACATAAATTCAAGTCCAACTACCAAAACAAATCAATCAATTCTTGCACCTAGAACCGTTACTTATTTATCTCCATAAGAGTAAAGAACAAAACCACTCTAACCGCAGTTGCTGCAAGAGTTCTGATCAAGCAAGCTAAGCATGCGCATTCCTGAACCAATTAACTTTAACTCCTATCACACCCCAAATTCCATCCATTGCCTCGTCATCATTTTCGTGACAACCAAATAAACATAAGAAACACATTCAATTTGAACATTTATAAGGTACAGTTAATAATTAATCAATCATCAAGTTGTGTCGCAAAAAGTAATTATCATATATAATACTTATATAGACAAGCAATATACCTCACATAGGTCCGAAATTGACAATTAAATGCAATTATCAATCTATCTATGTATATATAAACTATACATACATACATAGATAATAATTAACTTGCCTTGGAGAGAATAATTAAGCTTGAGCTTAATAATTACACTGCATCACCACTGACCAAGATGGGGAGATTCATAGAATACACTTGCGGGAAACAGACCGGAAATGTTCTCTATCATCTGAGGAGTGAAGACGTCGTCGTCAAAAGGCTCAAAACTCTCAATAGAAGAGGGTTGGCCTTCACAAATAGTGGGATCCACTGGGGGAGGCACCACGCACTTAAGGTGGTCATTTTCATCATTTTTGAAAGAAGAGTCATCGGAATCGACCTGAAGAGCGCCGGCGGCGGGGAAACGGGAAGGGTCCGGCGGCGATTCGGCGTCCTGGCCGGTGAGTTCTTGGACGAGGGCTCTGAACTCGGAGGCACTGGTCTTGATCTTCATGGGGTTGGATATGTAGACAACCTTGATGGGTTTTTTCTTGGGTTTGGCTTTTTTGGTGGGCGTTGTTTGGTGAACGCTACTCCTAGTTGTAGTAGTAGTAGTAGTGTTTCTGAGGAGTGAGTTGGTGATGGTGTCCATGCCTGACAAAAGGATAACAACGTTGTACGACACTGTGGGTTGGGTGGGTGCTAAAGATAACACCTGTACATGGAAGGAAGAATAATGGGTCTTTGATTTTTTGGGGAAATTAAAAGGAGGGGCGTTTCCGGGAAGAAGAGAGAAAATGATGTTGTGTTGTGTTTGGGCAAATGGAAAAGTTAAAAGGAAGAAAAGGTAAGTAGGTAATGGAGATTTCAGATACATTCATATATGGATCGCGTTATGCCACTCCCAGCCGACACTACGCGCCTCTCTACCTTTTCTCTTACACTAAATCTTAATATTGCGTTAAAATCATAACATTTAAGAAATATAAAATTTAAATTACAATGTATTTTGTAATGTGTTTTTAAATTAAATGTATGGATGTAAATTAATATAATAATATTGTATTTCAAATATTATTATTTTAATTTAATATTAACTATTAATATATTATTATTAAAAAAGTATAAATTTAATAGTCACATTGGGATCATTAAACGTATAACCTAAATCTGTTTTTGGAACACGTCAAGTATGACTTCTAAAATTTAAACCCATTAAACGTAGCTTTGGTGAAATAAGATGGACATTACTAAAAGTATAAGGATATTAAATACATCTAACAGGTGAGCCTAATTTTGTGTTTTGTTCAGCAATAGGAATCCAAACTTCGGTTTAAAGGATATAGATAGGGTCTGTTTATTTTAAATTTTAATATAATTAATTTTAAAATAATTGATTTTAAAAGAATCAGTTTGAAAAGATTGAGTTTACATTTTACATTTCATATTTTTATTAAATGGGGGAATGCTTTCCCATTTGTAAAATATAAAATTTAGATGAAATTTCTTGAATATTTTTTTCATTTTTAATTAAAATTCTATTTTTAATTGTATTTAAAATCATCATCACTTGCTAAAATAAGATTGTATTTTTAATTAAAAATGTTTCCCAAAAAAAATAAAGGCTTTTTATTGGCTAGTTTGAATCCAAATTTGGTGAGCATTCAATGCAAAGGCTATCTTGCGAGTGTAAAATAGGAGCAACATAAATGAGGTATCATGCACGCGCCGCTGCGAGTGAAATAATGCGAGCAAGGGATCAAAATATCCCACGTGGCACGCAAGGAAGGGAGCGGATAGATGTGGTGAGGTCATAGAAGGGATGCATGATGACGTCATAAGGCCCACTTTTGCAAGCGCGGCTCGCAAGACGTCGACCACCCAAGCTGGCTCCGCTTTGCGATCAATGCACCCTCTTCCGTTTCCAATTGTTTAGTACGCGTTTATTAACTATTTTTTTCAAATGATTATTTTTATTATAAATTTAATATGAATTTGTTTTAAAATAAATTTAAAACATATTATTTTATTTAATTATAGAAATTATTAAAATATGTTAAAAATAATTCATAAAAATTGTAAGTTATTTTTAATAATTTGTTTATAAATTCTTTCAGATGAATCTTAACTAAAAAAATTTTATAGTTAAGTTTTAATAATTTTTTAATTCTTTTTTGTCATTATTTATTCTTGTTTTTATTTTTATTTTTGTCTATTATTTTTAGTCATCAAGTTTTTAAAAAAATTATTTTTATCTTTTTTTATTTTAATTTATTTTTTTATTAATTTAATTTAAATATGATATAAGTCAAATATAATAGGTGAATTTATTATTAAATATTTTTTATACATAAAGACTCAAATTAAGATTTTACTTAAATTATACTAAACCACTTATCATTCAAATCAATTGTAATTGATTGATTTACTATTTTTAATTAATCTTTTCTTTATACAATATATAATACTAATAAATTTTAAATTTAAAACTGAATGAACTTTACTAATAATAGAAAAGTGTTAATCAGAAAGCCTATAAATAATATTACTTTTATTTTTATTTATTTTTTTGAAAATAAGAATACAGATTAAAAAATTAATAAATACTAAACTTCTATTAAAAATAACTTGAGATGTATTAAAAAACTGCACAAGTGAGTATAATACTAAACAATGTATTGTGAATATTTTATTAAAAAACAATTATAAAATTTCATCATCAACGTATAAGGACAAACTTTCAAATTTAACCTTCTAATTAATGTTGCGTGCTTTCCATCAGTCTGTCAGACTGTCACAACATTTACAAAAGTAGGAGGACAACCCCAAAGTATAAACATCCCACAGAAAAGTGTATATATATTCAAATCTTTAATTTAGAAAATTAAATTTTGATTTTGATTTGCATTTTTTATAATTTATTTTGACTACTATTTTATCCGCTTCTTTATATATTTTCTGTAATTATAATATATACTATTTAATTATCATACATATAAATATAATATTACAATGCAATTATAATATTAAAAATAAAATATTTGTTTGTAATAAAATAATTAAAATATTTACTACAACATAAAAATTAGTTAATTAAATGAATAATAAGAAAATTAGTATATATTTATTTAAATATAATATAAATTAATTTTTGTTTTAAAATTTAAAAATTAACATTTTAAATATATTTCTTTCATATATAATTAACGTATTTTAATATTACAAAATTAACTTCATAACCATTTCAAAAAATAAATATAAAACAATACGAGTACAATTGTAATGTATTATTAATGTAATTTTTTCTAGGTTATCAATTAATTAAACTATATAATAAATATATCTTTGAAAATAATTATTATAAAAAATTATTCACTAAAATAATAATTGTGACTAAATAACATCATAAAATTATTTTATATATATATATATAATTAACAATTATTTTATATATCCGCGCTATGGGGGAATTAAGTGTAGTTTATATATAATAGAAACAAAAGAAAAAATTAAACAAGAAAGTAATTGAAAAACAAAGTTAGAAAGTAAAATCAACAAACAATTATTGAGGATTTCTTGAAGGAAAGAAAAAATAGGCTTTTGAATGAGGCGAGGTCTGTGTCGACGGGAAAGTGTAATTTAAAGCATCAGATATAAGTTTTCTACTCCACGTGCATTGACTTCATTTGAATCCAAAAATTACATGATGTTACGTATTTTATATTACACCCAATGAAACTATCGATTAACTCGATTACGTTTAAGAAAAGCAAAATAGAAATTAATTGTTAATTTTTATTGTTTTAAAAATGTTTATCCGTTGGTCACAGTATTAGTTTTATCCTTGGTACGAGAAAAGATAAGGGTGTTGTCGTGGCATAAAGAGCACCACGTACCTGTTGCATGGTTACATCTGAGAGCTTTGGGATTTCATCATTTTAAAATTCATTTCACATATAATTATTTGCATGTTGACTAAAGTCTGTGTAATTGGAAATTTGGTGCGAAAATGTTATCAATAAAATAACATAAAGTCACGACACTGCTCAACCACACCAAAATTTCTCATAGTACACACCTTTGCACCGTTTTGAATGTCTGTTTTGTTTAGACACTTCTAAAATTTATTTTAATTAAAAATCAAGTGATTTATTTTGAAAAGATTTTTCTAAATAATTTGTTAACTTTATTCTTTCAAATTGAGTTTAAACATCTAAAAAAATAATTTTTTTTACAAATATACATTCATTGCACTAAATAAAAGTATAATATATATTATTTTTTAAAATATAATTTTTTTTTATTTTCTTAAATTCTTTTTAACGTTTCATTCATTTTTCTCCAGAAACATTTTTTGTTCGTGAGGAAAGTAAACCAAGAGAACAAACGAAGGAATGCCTTTATTCTCATTGTATTCCTTACAAGTAAAATATGGCAATTTTTTTTTATTTCTTATGAGAATAGAAATTTCTTTGTAAGAAAATGTTGATATTTTCACCTTAATTTTTATTATTACAAACATTATCAAGCCTTCAAGTTATTTTCATTAATATAATTTAAAACAAAATAGAATGATGACGTAGAATTTAAAAGTTTACACTATTTAATAATATGAAGTATACTAAAATTATATATATATATATATATATATAAGATTAGCAAAATATTTATTAATATACTATATCATAATGTTAATATAAACTCATAATGCAAAGACCAACAGCTTAATTTTTGTTAAACAAATTATATTAATAGAGTGATTTAAATTTAAATTAATAATTAATAACATTTTTTAGTGTATTCAACCAAGAAGGCAAAACAATGTTTTTTCTTTCTCATATACTCTTTTTCTTTTTTTTTTCTTTTAATTCACAAAATTTTAAAAAGTACTCACTTCTTCTTGCCCACTTTCTATCCAATTTTTTTGTTTCATTTTTCACGTCCAAACAAATAATAATATCATTGAGATTTGGCCTCATGTAATTTTTTAGCGAATAATTTTCACTTTTTTTTTCATATAACTAGAGATAAATCATAACACAAATACCTATAATATATAGCACCATTATAAAAAGCATACACATAGCACTAATAGTGTAAAAAAAAAAGGGTCTATCTAACTAAACTAGTTTAAATTAGGGTTAATGTTTTATCATTGATGTATAATCTAGTTCTAATTTTAATAACTCAATCCAAAGATAATTGTTGGATAAATAAGTTTGCTTTTGTTTGACTTTAAGTTCTTCAAGTAGCAGGTTGGTTAAATACAAAGATCTTTATTAGGTTATATTAAGTTATCTCCTTCTATCACTATCACTATCACTAAAATTATTGTTCACCACTAAAACTTTTCCCCTTTCTTGATTTACTTTTTCTTCTTTTTTCACATACTACTACCAATAAGAACAACAATTATGTTTACAAAGTCAGTCCATAAATCTTTCATCCCTTGTATTCAAGTCCAAAAATGATTGAAAAAGGGAAAAAAAAATGTTAGACTTTTGTGACTATATTAGGTTCCATATTTGTTGGACAAATTCTAACTCTACTTTCCCATTTTCATAAAGGGTCCATGACCTTCCATTAACTATGTGTTGCTCTAGCACTCAGAAGTCAGAGCATTAGTTAAAAAATAAAAAATATTGAAAATACAATAAGTACTCTTCATATAATTTTTATACATTTTAATGTAAGTTTACTGTTTTTAATTAGTGTCTTAAAATATCAATTAACAAGGCCCTTAAAATAATACACGTTTATAAAAATATTTGAATTTAAAGGCAAATAACTCGGAGTTAAATATTAATATATTCCTTTTAATCTTA